CATGCTGTCTGGCAAGGTGTATCTTCTCTTTGTGGTCTACCATTTTGCCAAGTTTCAGGGTGGTTTTAAATACCTTCCAAAGTTATAGCTGTTTGAATATCCCTGTTCAAGGAAGTAGGAGTTTCAGAGAGTCAGAAATCCAGATCTGTATTTGGAGCCTGAATCAGTTTGGAGGGAGTCTGGATTGTACTGGATTCAACTGAATCTTGAACCAAGGTGCCAAATCAGTGGCTGGATCAGGGAATGTGCACACAGCCCTAATTTTAAGCATATGTCTTATATACCAAATTCTGGTTAGTTGACTACTTGATATTCTAGGGTTTTTTAAATAGTTTTTCTGCAGGCCAGAAGCATCCTGCATGTACAGTGCAAAGCTGCAAAAGCTTTGATAAAAGCTTTGCACCCATAATGCAAACACTGTAGAAACTATTTCTCATTGAAATTTAAAGCAGCAATCTCACATCCTAAGACTGGTAAAAGGTCACATTTCCTCTAACCCTGCCAGAAACAGTGAACATTAAATGCCCTACAAACAAATAGTTGAGAAACTACAAGTTACAGATCTCCACCAGTATCCACTTGAGGAGTTTTTGTTACATTTATCTTATGGGCATATTTGTGCAGTGGAAATACAATATATGTTTTTCATATGGAAAAAAAGAGAAGTGGGAATGTGGAGTGGAAGGGCTACCAGAATGTGTGCAAAGAGGAGGCTTGCCTTTTCCCTACCTAGTTTGTCTGCTATTGTTATACAAATTATTAACAATTCATGTACTATTTTCAACAATAAATAAAAATAAAAATCATCTGAGCCATTTCCTGCCTCCCTTCCCCCAAGTTCTTTACTACTTGCCATTGCATCCTTAGCCTTTCTGTTTTTCTTCAAAATCCTTACACTTTATTGCCTGTTTCTTCTATATAGTATTTGAGACGAAGTGAAACTGAAAAAAAAGGAAAAATATGTATATTAAGGAAAAATCATAGGACAGCAGGAGCCTTGTATATTTGTTATGAGTTGACAGGATGTTATATGAAGCTTAGTTCTTTTTTAATTAGGTTTTAACTTCCAGGTGAAAGAACATTATATTTGCACTATACAGTATAATCTTATTTTTGCCCACTTGAAAACAAAGTCTGTTATCTTCATTGGGACACTTAAGTTCATTGGTACATATACCAGCTTTGGGATTCTGGATGTTGTAGTTCAGAAGGTTTTCCAGACTTTGATTGTTCACGATTCTATCAGGTAAATATTGGTGGTGTGTATATGTGTGTTTGTGTGACTATGGTGTGATGCTAGGTTGTATGGCCTTTAAGGGCCTGGAGAACCACCGACTCACCAAAGTCTGACTATTCTAGGCAAGTGGCAAAAAACACAAAGAGATTCAGCATCAACCCATGGTTGGTGAGCAGCATCCACCTTTGTGTCAGACGGCTCTAGTTATGTCCTTTGAACAGCTGTTTATAGCAGTCTGTGCGAAACCTTGCCTCCTATCAAGTCACAGTTGGCATCCTTGCAATGCTTAAATTACCCTGCTTTGTCACGAGAGAGAGGCAGAATGTAAGCAGTTTCTTAGATGTCAGTTGTTGACATTTGAGTATGGGAATGCTATATGTAAACTCTCCTTTTTGGATGCCATGTATGGTGGTGTTAAGCTGTAGGCTTAAACCGTTTGTGAGCACTAAAATTAAATAAAGCAAATGTTTCTTCTGCTCTGTTGATATATCAGACACTGTCTGTCCTTCCTGTTCACAGAGGCTTAGATGTCTTTGTTATTCATGCCAAACAGGGCTAATCATGGCTATTCTTGGTTTGCTGTGCCAGTTCACATAGGCTTAATGTAAGCATAAAGGTCCTTTGCTGTTGGCCAATTACATCAAGTTTTCATTTCACAAAAGATGCTAAAAGGTTTCCATCATTTTTCAAAAAATATTTATACTGTATATATTGTGTACCTTATCTGTGCCTTGAAATCATTTCACAATCGTGTGCCAGAACAGGAACCACTTTGAGTTTTTCTGTAAGCATGTGTATTGCTTGAGAAAGGAATGGAACAAAAATTGATTGTAGAACCCCCAGCCAGCTTACTGGAGACGTGAAGGCAGCCATAACACTATTGAGAAAACAATGCAATACCATCAAAGAGAATGGATCAGCCTCAGGACAAATGTGGCTCGATTTCAGATGCTAGTGGTCTTTTCCCTTCACCAGGATCAGGCCTGTTAAAAAACTGGTGGGTTGCTATTGTCAGTTCAAAACCAAACACCCCAAGGACCTCTTTATCAGTCAAGGGCTGTGGGACTTTGGATAGCTCCAGACATATAACTTGCTTTGACAAGAGCCATGTTCAGGCATTATGGGATCTGCTGGTTTGAACAAACTTAGAGAGGAACCCCCGGCCCTATCCCACCTTGTTGTGCTCTTCATATGAACATTGCAGCATGTGAAAAGGGGAGGTTCTGTTAGCAGGCAGGCTTTCCACATGAAGAAAAATCATTAAAAAATTGGATTGTTCCTCACATGGGGAGCCTACGCACAGGCAGAAACCTCCCCTGTTCAAATGCTGCAATGATCTTGTGAAGAAAGCAATGACAGGTCACATTGGGCATTCCCTTCTAAGTACATTTAAACCATTTGTATAATTCTGTAAGGCTTGAATAGGGCTAAGTTTTGGGTCCTATCTGTCACTTATCTGTCTTGGTCCAGATGTCCTCTCAAGCTCCCCCTTTTTCTGAAATGTGGAAAGGCTTAAGGAGTCAATCTTCTCTCCTAGAGCTAGGTATCCTCCATTTTAATTATCTCCACACCTTTGGAATTGCCTGCGGAAGCACCCTCCAATTGTAAAAATGGCCCATTCCCAGGAAAAAAATTCTCAGGACAGAGGCCTACTGAAGATCAGAATAATGACAGCTTTGTTCCCCAGAAAACTATACGATTCAAAGTTACCAAAATATTAAATCATGAGAAAGAAATGTTTTCTTTTGGGAGCATGGTTCCCATTTGTCCATGGCTACATCCTAAACTGCTTTGTAATATAAATTCATAAGAGAAGGGAAAGTTATATGGCTGTTTCCTATCCCAGCATCTTCCCATAAAAAGCTCATAAAATGTGATTGTGTTCTTCCAGTATTTCCAGAATGATGAAGGATAGAGCCATACAGAAGTGGCAGCCATACTACTGTTATGCCCTAATATACAGCCATTAGTTCCATGGAGATAAATAGTGTACACTTCCAAATTAACTGGATGGGTTTCATCCTCCTCCGGGCATTCTTTTTAGTAGGAAGTCAGTAAATATAACACTAGACAAATTATCAATTTGTATTTGTATTCCTTGCCATCTAAGAGATATGAAATAAGGCTGTGTGTTTTTTTTTTAAATAAATGAGGAACTAGCAGCTCTGTCAAAGATGGATGTTGTTTCATTGTCATGTCTTAGATTCATAGACGCATAGAATCACAGAGTTGGAAGAGACCACAGGGGCCATCGAGTCCAACCCCCTGCCATGCAGGAACTCCATCAAAGCACTCCCGACAGATGGCCATCCAGCCTCTGCTTAAAAACCTCCAAAGAAGGAGACTCCATTACACACCGAGGCAGCATATTCCACTGCCGACCAGCTCTGACTGTTAGGAAGTTCTTCCTGAGATTCAGGTGGAATCTCTTTTCCTGTAGTTCGAAACCATTGTTTCTTGTCCTGATGTTTGTAGCTGTGGAAAACAACCTGTCCCTTCCTCGACTTGACATCCCTTCAAATATTTAAATATGGCTATCATGTCCCCTCTTAATCTTCTTTTTGTAAGGCTATACATTCCTAGCTCCCTAAGCCGCTCCTCATAGGACATGGCTTCCAGACCTTTGACTATTTTGGTCACCCTCCTCTGGATATGTTCCAGGTTGTCAACATCCTTCTTGAATTGAGGTGCCCAGAACTGGACACAATACTCCAGGTGAGGTCTGACCAAAGCAGAATAGAGTGGCACTATCACTTCCCTTGATCTAGACACTGTACTCCTATTGATGCAACCAAGAATTGCATTGGCTTTCTTGACAGCCGCATCACACTGCTGACTCATGTTCAGTTTGTGGTCTACCAAGACTCCTAGATCAACCAATTATAAATCCACCAAATGTGTCTAGCCCACATTTTACTAGGTTCCTTGCAAGAATATCATGGGGAACTTTGTCGGGGAACTTTTTCAAAGGCCTTACTGAAATCAGGATATGCTACATCCACAGCGTTCCCTTCATCTATCAAGCCTGTAACTCTATCAAAAAAGAGATCAGATTAGTCTGGCATGACTTGTTTTTGAGAACCCCGTGTTGACTTTTAGTGATGATAGCATTGCTTTCTAAGTAATAACAAACTGTCTGTTTAATGATTTGCTCTAGATTTTTTTCTGGGAATTGATGTCAGGCTGACTGGGTGATAATTATTTGGGTCTTCTTTTTCCCTTTTTGAAGATAGGGACAACATTACTATCTTCCAGTCTGTGGGGACTTCTGTTCTCTAAGAATTTTCAAATATTATTGCCAATGGTTCTGAAATTACTTCTGCCAGTTCTTTTAATATCCTTGGATGTAATTCACCTGGCCGTGGAGACTTGAATTCATTTAGAGTAGCCAGGTATTCCTGTACTGCTACTCTACCTATTATGTGCTGCGTTTCCCCCACTACATCACCTGCTTTTCGCCCCTCAGGTAGAGTACTATTTTCCTTTTTGGGGGAAACTGAGGTGAAGAAGGTATTGAGAAGTTCAGCCTTTTCCCTGTCCTCTGTTAGTAGTTGGCCATCTTCTCCACACAGCGACCCTATCGTTTCTTTGTTTTTCCTTTTTCTGATCTTGTTGGTCTTGTGAGACAAAAAGGGCCTTAGTTCCCTTTCCCATCCATTGTAATTAATTAATTAATCAAATGAAAAAGCTGGGGAATATACACATGTGCAAAATTGAAACAGGCTAAATAAGGTACCTGTGTGTTGTTATGATCTTCTTATAGGTTGCACAAGACAAAGGAAACTGCTCTTTTCAGAGAAACCCTACACCATGTGTTATTCCTCAAGAAAAAGAGAACATTTTCCACACAATATTTGCCTTTTTTACCAAATCTGGGAGGAAAGTACTGGTAAGAAACTCTATGCTTAATATCATTATCAGCTTTTGAAAAACCTGCTGCCTCTTGACAGAGCCTCTTGAAAATGGAAGCTCCTGCTATTGATATTGTAGCTGTGGAGCTCTGTGACTATGTGAGCACTTTCTGTCCATACCTTGTAGCAGTAGAGTCCTCTTCTGCATCTGCACCATGGCCCACACTTTGGAAAATATTTCTTCAAAAAAGAAGGAGATAATTCAGCCATGTGATTGTCAAGAAGATGATGATGATGATGAAGATGAGAGAGAGAGAGAGAGAGAAATATTTCTTCAAAAAAGGAGATAATTCAACCATGTGATTGTCAAGATGATGATGATGATGATGATGAGAGAGAGAGAGAGAGGGAGAGAGATGTTTCTCAAGCATTCACACTTGAAACCTTAAGTTTAAATATGCATTCACACTTGAAACCTTAAGTTTAAATTCTAGTACAAAGGTGGCAAAGTACAGTACAGTACTCCAGATGGTACTGGAATGTAGCCCACAGTATTCCCACTGGAATGGGTGAAGTGACAGCTTTGTAGATCTTCCATGCATGTTCTTCCTACGGTCATAGAGAGGGAGCACCAGATCTTAAAGAAAGAGGAGCTGACAGATTGTGGCTTTATTAAGTACAGTGGTGCCTTGCATTGCGATGTTAATTCATTCTGCAAAAATTGCTGTTGCATGAAAACGTCGCAATGCGAGATAAAAAAAGCCCATAGAAATGCATTAAAATGTTGCAATGCGAGATAAAAAAGCCCATAGAAACGCATTAAAATGTGATTAATGCATTCCTATGGGCTTAAAACTCACTGTTCAGCGAAGATCCTCCATAGCGCGGCCATTTCTGGTGCCTCTTAAGTGAGGAATCCGTACCAGAAGACAGCGGGCAACCATGTTGTTTTTCCCGGCGGTCATTTTGAAACCACCAATCAGCTGAGGTGACCATGTTTTTTCCCCGGTGGCCATTTTGAAACTGCAGATCAGCTGTGCGAAATTGGTCGCTTTGCGATGCTGGGTCATCGCAAAGTGAAAATACCCCATAGGTTGGTCGCTTTGCGATGCTTGGACATCACAAAGCGAAAATACCCCATAGGGGACATTGCAGAGCGATTTCATCGCTAAACGGAGCGATCGCTAAGCGAGGCACCATTGTATACATTTTATATGAAAATGAAGTTTCCTCCCAAAATCAAGATTGCTCTCTGATTATATTATACATTTTATATGAAAATGTAGTTTCCCCCCAAAATCAAGATTGCTCTCTGATTATATTTATCTCATTACCTTGTTAGAACATTCATTTAAAAATTATTATTAAGGGATAGCTTATGACAGTCTGTTTAGGATTGTTCAGGAGATGAGTAAAAGGAAACACACTCTTAGGATTTTAATAAGTCTGTAGAGTTCAGGCTTGATGAAAATATATGAAAATGTAGTTTCCCCCCAAAATCAAGATTGCTCTCTGATTATATTTATCTCATTACCTTGTTAGAACATTCATTTAAAAATTATTATTAAGGGATAGCTTATGACAGTCTGTTTAGGATTGTTCAGGAGATGAGTAAAAGGAAACACACTCTTAGGATTTTAATAAGTCTGTAGAGTTCAGGCTTGATGAAAAAATAGTGGGTTATTCCGTTTCTTCCATCGGCATAGCCAGATGTTGTTGAGCTATGATCCCTATTATGTTTCACTGTGGACTAGGTTGACGGGGCTAATGAGCATTGGACTACAACATCTAGAGAACTATAGATGCCCAGCCCTGCTTTATCCAAAGAGATGCTTCAAGAGGCACTGGATTTAAGATGAAATGTGACTAGTGTTATCTGAGGAACAAAAGCTGAGCATTGTTAAGTTTTTCTCTTCTCCCTATTTACATCATAGTTTTCTGCTTATGTTCTTTAGGACTGTGAAAGACCGGGCAGACCTTGTTTGATTATACGCTGCAACCTAAGCTCACTAGCAAAAGCAGAGTCCCGAAGCATAGACGTGCAGATGCTGTTGAATACTGAGATATTAAAAAAGGTGAGTGTCATTGCCTGAATTATGATTTTAAGGTTCCTCTACATCAGTGGTTCCCAACCTTGGGCCCCCAGATGTTCTTGGAGTACAACTCCCCAAATCCTGGTCAGCATAGCTTGTGATGAAGGCTTCCGGGAGTTTTAGTCCAAGAGCATCTGGGGATCCAAGGTTGGGAGCCAGTGGTTTACATAATCTGGAACATGGTGGGAATTAAACTGGAAATATTTAGACTTTCCAGTTTAGAATTTGCACACTTCGATTTGAGCAAATGTCAAAGAGGGGAAAAAAACCAGTTATTTCATGCCCTTTGTCTATCAAACTGCCAAATACCTGGCTTTGACTTTCTCTATGGTTACATTAATCAAGACCCCTTCAAATATTTGCTCCCATCGCTCACTCCTTAAGCTCTTGAGTTAGGCGTTTGCTTACTCCCCACTGGCAGTGCAGGAAGCTGTATAATTTTGTCTGGTAGATGGTACTAACTCGCTTGACAAATACTCGGTCAGAAAAGTATTCTTTTTACTGGATTTTGTCTTGTTCTGTTTCATTGGGAATAGGGATTAGCACTCTCATTGATTTTAGAAAATCAGCACTTTACGGGAAGCTTCCCATTTCAGCTCTTGACAGTGGAGAATCACTCCACTCCTAATCTTCTTTGAAAATCAGCTGCCTTTCACACTCTTTGTGAAAAAGAGTGTAGATACAGTTTAGAAGGTGATCCTCTATGCTGGATTTTTGTGTTTATTACTGCTCACATTGAAAGCTTCCCAGCTGAGAAGCCCCTGGCATGTGAGCCTGGCTGTTATTTGCACAGAACAAAATCTAAATAATGGAGTGAAATGGAAAAAAAAACCTGTGGAGTTGTAGTCATTCTCAGGTATGGTGGGAACCTATGGGTGTATGAAAAGTCTAGTTAGGACCTCTTGCCATAGTGAAATGTTAAAAAAAAAGAGCTTAAAATGTGATGTCTGTTGAGAAATTGTCCATTCCTAAACTATAATGCTGTATTCTGATTTGTTTCCAGCAGAGAATGTTATGTCTGTTGAGAAATTGTCCACTCCTAAACCATGTTTAACTATGATGCTGTATTCTGATTTGTTTCCAGCAGAGGGCATGCCATACAACAATAGAATAAAAAGATGTGTCTTAATTAAAGATGGGGATGAATAAAAAAAAATGGCAATTCGTTTTGATCTGTTATTCCTCAAGGTTAACAGATCAAAAAATATGAATATTCTTTCATGAATTGACGAATCAATCCGCAGGCTGGGGCCATGCGATGGTGTTGTTTGTTTTGATATTGATGAAGAAAGGGGATGGTGGTGGTTGTTGGCACAAGAGAAACTCTGCAGTCTCAAGCCGTGCAATGGGGCGACACCTGGACATGCTTTGGGTGCTGCTGGGACTGGCATGGTTGACGCTTCCATGTCCGGACATGTCAGGTCAGGTCAGGTTGGGGTGCTGAGCCGGAACTCATTTGAAAGCATGTAACTGCAAGTGGGTAAATAGGCAACATATCGGTGTTAAGGTACTAGTAATGGTGGTCCATTGGGCACTGAGGTAGTTGGCAGCCGGAAAGCAGGCTTTTGGGCCCCATCAGGGCACTGAGGTAAGTTGGCAGCAGCAAAGTAGAGTGTGTTGCCCCATCAGGCACTCAGGCACATGGCAGCCAGAATGCAGGCTTTGGGGCCCCATTGGGGCACTGAGGCAAAAGGCAGCAGAACAGACTCTGGCTTTCTTCAGCAACCTCAGATTTGCCTGCAAAGGAAAGGTTTTTGCCCCCAGGGGGCAACTGAGGTTGCTTGCAAGTGCCAACAGCACCAGCAGCACCATCAGATGAACGAGGCTGTGGGGCTGTCGGAAACAGATCAGCTCTGCAATCTGAAGTTGGGCGATGGGGCGACAAACATGCTTGTTTAGAACTAGAAAGCTGGGAATTGCTTGCAACTTGGCTGCTGGGACTACCCGGATATGATAAATGTAGCCGGGCAACTGAGGTTGCTTGCAAGTGCCAACAGCACCAGCAGCACCATCAGATGAACGAGGCTGTGGGGCTGTCGGAAACAGATCAGCTCTGCAATCTGAAGTTGGGCGATGGGGCGACAAACATGCTTGTTTAGAACTAGAAAGCTGGGAATTGCTTGCAACTTGGCTGCTGGGACTACCCGGATATGATAAATGTAGCCCGTAGAGGAATGGGAGCACTTAGACAGGCTGGCCCTCTTGGCACGGGTTGAAAACCAGATGAGCCCTGCAGTCTGAAGCCAGGCAATGGGGGCACCCCCGAACAGGCTTTGGGTGGGGCAGAGCAGACAGACCTTTTGGAATGTAGCTGAAGTGGAAGGAGCTGCAGGGTTAGGAAATTGTTCAAATGGCCAGCAGTGTCACTGACTTTTTGGTAGGTTTTGATAACATCACATTTGCCTGCAAAATTACTTAAGTTTGTCCCCAGGAGGCAACTGAGGTTGTCAAAGCAGCAGCAACAGCAGGAGAATAGGGTCCGACTGCAAGGTGCTACTAATGGCAGTTAAACAGGGTAGCTGCTGGGTTTCTCGAGCGGAAGATCAGCAGTTCGAATCCATGCAATGGGGTGCCCTGAGCTCTTGTCCCTTGTTCCTGCTTCTGCCTACCTAATGAGTTAAACTGCTGCTGAGCCACTAGGCTTGTTGATCAGGACAGCAGTTTGAATCCATGAGCTCCCATGGCTTCTCCCAGATTCTGTCAACCTACTTAGGCAGTAGCCCAAGTGGACTTTGGAGCACTGTGTTGGCATGGGATGGCCGGACAGGCATTGGGAGGGGGGCAGAGGAAAAGGAAGAGGTAGAGACAAGAGGAAGGAAGCAAAAGGAAAGAAGACTCTTGTCTTCAGCACAAAAGTAGTTCCGTTTGCCCCCAGGAGGCAACTGAGGTTGCACAACTGCAGCAACAACAGCAGATGAATAGGGTCCAAGGTGCTGCTGATGTAACAGCAGTTAATCCACGGGGCCGCTGGTGAGCTGAGCTCCTGTAGTTTGTTCCAAGTTCTGCCAACCAACTAAGGCTGTAGAATAGCTAGGAAGCTGGAACGAACCGTCTGCCAGTTTTGAGTGGGCCTGAGACAGGCCCTCTTTGGCACAAGGGATGCCCAGACAGGCTTGTGGGGGCTCGAGGCAGGCCTGGTTGGTGGCTGGATGCCCAGCAAGGCTTGAAAGCAGACTCTTGCCTTCTTTGGGAACATCACATTTGCCTGCATAGTTAAGTTTGACCCCAGGAGGCAACTGAGGTTACACAATAACAGCAACAACAGATGAATAGGGTGGTGCTACTAACATAACAGTGGTTAATCCATGGGGCCGCTGGGCTTCTCAAGCGGAAGATCAAATTCATGCAAGCTCCCGTAGGAAGATCAAATCCACGCTGAGCTCCCATAGTTTGTTCCAGGTTCTGCCTACCTGAGGCAGTAGGAAGCTGGAATGAACAGCCAGGAATTTGAAATGAAGCCTGAGTGGACTTTGGAGCACTAATGTAGCTCTTTGAATAAGGAGGCGGGCAGGCAAGCAGGAAAGAACTTGGCCCGATGAGCCAACTTCATCCAGCAGTCAAGATTTGGAAGGCCCTTGGCCCGATTCTTGGCACAGAATCAGCAGCAGGCAATCCCAAGGCAGCTGGAGAGGGATGCAGGATTTGGGGCCAACATGGCCCAAGGAGGCTGGAATTGATGCCCGGTGAGGTGGGGGGGATGCCCGCACAGGTTGCACATAGCAGCAACATAAACTGTGGCACTGTGGGTTAAACCACTGAGCCACTGGGCTTGTCCATCAGAAGATCAGCACTGCAGTATAAATCCATGCGCCGGGGTGAGCTATGTTCCATTGCTTTTCACACAGCTTCTGCCAGCCTTCTGCGGCAGTAGAGAAGGCTAGGAAGGTGGAACGAACAGGCATCAATAATTGGAATGAAGCCCAGGGGGGCTGGAATCATGAAATACATATAAATATGCATTTCCAAGATTTTTCAGAAGAAATGAATCGTGGCCTGAATTCCTGTTGCCCCACACAAGCGTTGTGCCCCCAATGTGGCCTGACTTCCTGTTGCCCCACGCAAGCGTTGTACCCCCAATGGCCTGTGGACCTCAGTGGAGCGCTCTGTTCTCCACTCCTCGAGGTTTGAGGTGTGTGCTGCCAAGCCCCCCTTGATTTTATAGCATGGGCTGCCTGATCACACAGGCAGCCCATGCTATAAATTCTGTTGTTGTAGACAGGATGGAGTCACTTCTACATGCCTGCCTTTAACCTCTTCACCAAAGCCCTGGTCCGTGGAAGGAGGGAGGATCCTGGTGCCACAGCAGTCTCTAGGGACCGATCAAGGGCATGAATCAGGGGGATGACCTGCCCCAGGCTTGCCGTATAAACACACAAGATGTCCGTGGTTTCCAGGAAGGGCTTGAACACCTCTACCATCTGGGAGAGGGCCAGCCAATCCGTGGCACTGATGCCCACCTCTCTCTCTCTCCCCCCCCTGGGCAGAATGGCCATTGAGGACATGATGTCCTCCAAAACGACCTTCTGCTCCACCAGGCGGGACACCATGGTGTAGGTGGAGTTCCACCTGGTGGGCAGGTCTGTCAGGAGAATGTGGGTCTCCTGACCCAACTCCTCTTGCCTCTTACGCAGCTGGCGGGCAGCTTTAAGGCTACGGGAGAAGTGTCCCACCAGTTGGTGGCAATGCTCCAGGAGTGGCTGCGTCTCCCAGGTGCCTGCGTCCCACTCGGGCTTGACGTGGCTGCCCAGGCCAAGGGCATCACGCACCACAAGGTGTAATTGGTGCGTCATGTACACGATGCCCTCAAAGCCCACCACTTTCAATGCTGCCAACATGTTCCACCCAACATCTGTGACCATGTGGCCACAGGTAGCCTCCCCCTCCGGTACCCACTCCTGCAACATGGACAGGAACTCATTGGCGATGTTCCTCCCCATCACTTGAGCTTCCATGTGCCACGCCTGCAGCAGAACGGACCTGTAGCCTGGGGGCAGGGCAAGAGTCTCCCCCTGCAGCCCTGTTGCCAATGCCCTGATGCTGCTCAAGTCCTCTGGCTGCCCCCAGTGGGCTGTGAGCGAGAGAGGTAGCCGTGCTGACCCCCTCTCCACAGGTCCGCTGTGAAGTGCACCTTGCGCCCCTGTAGCTGTGAAAAATAGTCACGGACCACCTCCCTCACAGAGTCATAAAGCAAGGGCAGCACTCTAGAACTGAGAGTTCTTCATGAGGGGAGGTCGTAGCAGGGCAAAAAAATGCAGCAACTGGTGGAAGGCTTGGCATTTCATGATGGAAAGTGGAAGTCCGAGCAGGGCAATCATCTTGGTGACGAGACAAGTGGCTGCCTTTTGGGCCTTGCCCTTCGACCGCTAGCTGAGGGTTATGGTGGACCCAACAGGTACCACTTCATGGAGCATGTCCTGCCTCATGCTTCCGGCCCCAGAAATCTCTGTGGCTGCCCTTTGAAAGGAGGCACCTCCTCCTGCCTCCTTTCTGTCTCCCCTGGAGCTGCTCTTTTCCCTCTCTCAGATGGCGTGGACTAAGTGCCTTCACTGGACAGGAGCCTTGTGTGGTGCCTCTCCAGGTATTGGCGGAGGGCGGTGGAGAACAGATGCCTGGGGTCTGTCCCCATCCGGACCACCACAAGGCAGGCATTGCAGCATGCCAGCCGTGGGTCATTGCTGAGTGCTGTGAAATGATCCCACATGGCCTCTCTGCCACGTTTGCCTAAACAAGGACCCACTGCCTGACCTTGACTGCTGGCCTGTTAAGAACTCTGTGTCCCAGGGGTGCTGCTGGTCTGGGAGGAGGGAACAGAGGACTCTGGGGACTGGGGTGGGGGGAACTGTGAAGCCTGCCCTACCATTACCGGTTCCAAATCAGACTGAGGATCTTCAGAAACAACCAGTAATTCCTCATACTCCTCTAGGAAGAGAAGCGACAGTTCTTTAGGCACCTCTGGAAGCCATGCTTCCATGCCTGCCTCCAAGGCCACCAGAGGAGAAACAGTGGTGATCGTGGTGGTGGTAGCAGATGTACACATGGTGGTGATGGACATGCTGCCACTGTATAGCTTATGTAGCTTCACAGCCTTCTTTTCCTTGGATTGGCCGTGAAGAAATCCCTTCATTTTCTACTGCCTGCCTACCAAATCAACTAAACAAATAATAATAAGCTAATTAATAAAACAATGGAGAGCGGGAGTGACTGTGCAAATTTTATTTTTGGAATGATGGGGTGGTGGACTAATTATTTTACTAAAATGTGACCTACGTCCCTAAACAACCCCCCTCAGTATAATGTAATTAGTAAAAATACACCCCCAACCCACTGTGGCTGAATGAAAAGCCAAAAATATCCAAAAAGAAAAGCCCGCTACCCCACCCACCCATCCATTGTGCCTGAGATGGAAGTCTCCCAAGTCCAAAACTAAACTTTTGAAAACTGATTGAATAATGTAGTCCTGCCAAGCTAAACATGCACACACACACACGTCACACCAACAAATTACCCCCACCCTCTGTGCCTCAGACACAAGCCTCCACTTGCCTAAAGAAAACACACATGACACAAGCCTCCAGGGAAAAAAAGTTTGAAAAAAGCCCTTCCAAGTAGCCTAAGCTACATGAAAATCTCTTCCCAAATTCCCAGTACAGTTGATGATGATGAATGATAATTTTGAAAGAGAAAATTATAAGCAACGCGTTTCTCCTAAAATAAACTTTTGAAAACTGAATATAAAGGAAAAGAGATTCAACAGTCACATGACAACAGTCCCCCCCGACCCCCCCACACCCCTCCAGGAAAAAAGGTTTGATTGATTTGAATTTGAAATAAAATTAAGCCCTTCCAAAGAAGTAGCCTAAGCTACCTGAAATCCCTCCCCAAATTCCCAGTAAAGTTGATGATTGATGAAAATACAAGTTTTTGCTTTGCTGCCGCTAAAGCAAAACCGCAAGAGCACCAGCAAGCCAGCAAGCAGCAACTGTTCTCACTCCAGAGAGCACGAACACAAGTGGGGAATGGCCGGACGGGAAAAGCTTATATGAAGTGTCTGTAAAAGTAGATACACCTTTCAGCAGCGCTATTGGCTGCCAAACATGCCAATCCAGGATCTCTGTCCTGATTAGCAAGCTCAGAGAGGCCCCCAAAAGGGGTAACGAATATAGATGAATATGAAAGGATTGACAAATAAAACCGAGGAAATATTCATCAAGCCATATTCTTCCGATTTAAAATTTTACAAATACAGTACGGATCAATGAATATATGTCAAATCGGCTATAGTCATCAGAAAAACTGATGCGTTCTTATATTCATCCCCATCGCTAGTCTTAATCATTTGTGTTAAAAGTCTATGTAGGAAATTCAAAAGAGAATAATTCTTGCAGGAGAAAAAAGTAGATACATTTAGGCTTTTTACAGTTTGTCATGTCAGGATTTATATTAATAGTAAAAAATATTTTATCTGATACTGTACCCAAATGCATTTTGGTCATTTCAGCTGCATATCCGTTCCTAATTATATTAAATAATTTGTATTACAGTGTTCTTTGCTGGTCTTGTTTGGCAGCATGGTGCTTTCTTTTAAAGCACCATGCTGGCAATGTATCTGGACTGGCAAGGTTTTTTTATCCAGATCAGATCCAAGTTTGCAAATGAAGAAAGTAGTACTCCGGCTTATCAACATTAATGGGACGGGTTGACTTAAATTTGAAATATTGCTTTATAGACTTTGCATCTGATTTGATGCCATAAAAATGTATTTATTTATATATTTATTTGATTTTTATACTGCCCATCTGGCTACCCAAGCCACTCTGGGCAGTTTACAAGTTACAATAATGCAATACAGTACAATACAATGCAATATAATAAAACAGAACAATAAGACAGAAATAATCAATTACAATTTAGACAAAAGTAAAAATAATGCCAATAAAAACATTAATAAATAAAATAGTAAAGGCATGGTAGAGGGTTGAATATCTAGTTGTTAAAGCAGTACTGTATCAGGATATTATAGAGTCTGGGAAAGCCTGTCTAAATAACCATGTTTTTAATGATTGTTTGAACATTCCCAGTTAGGGGGGCAGGCAAATTTCAGGTGGGAGACCATTCCACAGTTGCAGGGCGACCACTGAGAAGGCCCTGTTTTATGGTCGTCATTTTCTGGGCCTCTCTCAGGGTCAGGACTCTCAGCCCCCTGGCCTAGGGCGATTTTACAGGGTGGGTAGATCTAGTTGGAAGGAGGCTTTCTGCCAGATAACGAGATCCTAAATCATTTAGGGTCTTGTATGTTAACACCATCGCCTTGAAGCGGGCATGGAAATAGACAGGTAATCAGTGCAGGGCAGCCAGCATGGGGAAATTATGTTGATGTCTCCTTACCCCGCTCAGTAGTCTGGCCACTGAGTTCTGGACCTGCTGAAGTCTCCATAACAGCACCAAGGGCAGCCCCACATAGAGAGCATTACAGTAATGTAATCTCAAGAATACCAGTGCATGGGCCAGCATGGTGAGGGACCCAGTGTCAAGGTAGGGATGCTGCTGGGCAATCTGCTTTAGGTGGAAATAGGCAGACCACAGATGCTATCTGAGATTCCATTGACAGCACTGTCTAACGGTATGCCCAAGCTGCGCACCTCAGCCTTCCCTGAAAGAGTGCCCCCCCCACAAAGGAAAGGGAAGCATCCCAAACACAGACACTAGGGGTGCCAAACCATAGGATGTCCATCTTGTCTGGGTTCAGCCTCAGTCTATTATCCTTCATCCATCCCAGCACAGCATCCAGGCAGCGCTCAAGGGAGACATAACAAATATTGTGCAGTTGAAAGTCTTTGATGCTTGCACATTTGACCGTATTACTCAACTTTGATTGCTTTTTATCCTTAGGACAGTTCATCTGTCATCCAGTTCGTAACAAGGGCGAAAGTGAGGGTAGACACAATCATGCGGGCAATAGAAGTACCCAATGGAAATTCAGAAGATGCAATGGTGAGTAGAAGAATCAGAAGAGCAAATATGGCCTGTTTTACTCATATGGAAGGCATTAGATGATCTTACCCTGAGTGAGGAATTTGTGGTCAGTCCTAAGCTTAGCCTACAAAAATGAATGAGCGTGCCTTTCTTTGAATTCACCAGCAGAGCTGCTGCTTCACAGTCCTCCTGTGGTTTTACTTGCTGTGATAAGCCATGTCTCTACAGCAAATGATGTTATTCGGAATACTTTAATGCACATTGCGCTGCAGCTAGCTCAACTTGTGCCTTTTTCTAAGCAATGAGTTCAGCTTCCCAGGGCAAAACTGAAGCCTGCTTTAATCTAACACAGGCTTTTGGAAATCCTGGAGACTTATCTCCTTCTGGAAGATTAGGTCATATAGAAGATTATGAAACTGTGTAGTGAAACCCTATGCATGTCTCCTCAGAATTGAATGCCACAGAGTTCAATAGGGCTTGCTCTCCAGTAAGGATGTTTCAGGAAAAGTTGTATCTTTTGGGGGTTCTCAATGTTGTTGTTTTTCTCCACTTATTTAATTAGCTACTTTTCAAGGCTGCAATCATGTTGCAGCACCTTGAATCACGGAACATATCGTTAATCCCAACATAAACTCATTAATCAGTTCTAAAGATATCTAGAAATGAACAGCAATGAAACTGTTCTTGCTATATGCCATGTAAATAACTGCACTTCTGACCTTTATTGTTGTTATTCAATTGTAAATATTCTTAGTGCTATGTAAATCATAGAAGCCTATCGAAAAGAAGTATAATTGTACTTGGAAATGGCACATTTTAAAGCTGATGTTCTAGATCGGGACTATGTGGTTTCCGGATTCATCTTCTCTCTTTCCATGAATCTAGAACACAAAGTGCAACTCTGCTCCAATGGTTAAACATTATAATCAGAACCAACTTTGCCACTAGATAAAGTGAGGTTGTCAAAGTTTGAAGTATTGTATTAATGAAGTATTAAAATAATTAAGGGGGTATATGAATTGCAACCCTGGAAAGATGACGTGTGATCATAACATGGAGGTTTGAACAGCAATGTACTGAATACCTGTTAGAGGTTACTTCAGAGTAAACAGCTAGTTTCACTGGATTGGCAAAATACATGTAAATGGCTATTGGCTCCACAAGACTAAAGGAAAAAGCAAAGTGTGTTACTTTTATACCACCCCATAGTTCTTTAAACACTCTCTGGGTGATTTACAATTTAATTATGTAGGCTACACATTGCCCTTCTGAGAGCTGGGTACTCAATTTAACAACCTTGGAAGGATGGAAGGCTGAGTCAGTCAGTCTTGAGCTGGCTACCAGAATCTGCTGGAATCAAACATAGATCATGAGCAGTGTTTTAACTCCGCAGACTAGTAGAGCGCATTTTAACCCAAGATTTGCAACACTGGAAGAACCTATAGAAAAAGCGTATGGTTTTCTACCAGAACAAAGCCCACAGAAAAAGGCTGTACCCCTTGTTCAGTGTCAAAATGTGCCTTCTTGTTTCCAAATCAACCTTATTAACATGTTTTGCAACACAGGCCAGCAAATAACCAGAAGTGTCAGATTTAATACCTCTCATGCATTAACCCCCACAAATCAACAGAGCTGCTTCTGTTCTGAGCAGATTTCTAGAGAATAGTAACTTTCCAATCTTGGGTTCTGAGGACTTCTTAGAGTCACACATTGTTGATAGACTGTCCCAGGAAATTGCCTGTGCTATGACATGGGCTATTCCCTGGATACAGGCGACATGGTGGTGCTGCGGGTTAAACCTCAGAAGCCTCTGTACTGCAAGGTCAGAAGACCTGCAGTCATAAGATCGAATCCACATGATGGAGTGAGCCTCCGTCGCTTGTCCCAGCTCCCGCCAACCTAGTGGTTCTAAAGCATGCAAAATGCAAAAATGCGAATAGATAAATAGGTACCATCACGGTGTTCCATATTTAGTCACGCTGGCCACGTGACCACGGAGGATTGTCTGTGGATGAAACGCTAGCTTTATGTGTTGGAAACTGAGATGAGCACCACCCCCTAGAGTCAGACACGACTGGACAAATGGTCAGGGGGAACCTTTTAAAAAAATTCCGTGGATAAACCACAAGCGGAGCCTGATTCTAAGAGTTCCCTAGAGCCTGGCTCTGTGGAGAGTGTTATCCTTTGTGCTGTTCTCCACAAAGTCCTTCCACAAGACAGAAAGGCAAGCCTTAGAAGCAGGAGCAAAGTCAGAAGTAAAGAGGAAATGGTGAGGAAAGAAGGTGACAATGGTGAAGGTATGAGGAATGCAAGGAAAATGGCAATGAAGCCAAATAGGGACATTGAAAGAATTTGAACTCATGAAACAGTCTTGACAAGAGGGAGAGAAGGAGGGAGAAGGAAAGTGAAAGTGTGCTCTAGAGAGGGGCAATTCAAAAGAAGAGACCAACAGATGTATCCTAGGCATCCAGCAGGCATCAGGACACAGACTCAGAAGCTGAGCAGCCAGAGGAAGAGACATCCAAGCCAGTTAGGCCTTCAACCTCTGGGGCAGCTCAATGGACACCTTTTAACTGGAAACCTCTGTGCAGACTACAGCCATGGCTCCTCCATGGTCTGGTCCTGGCACTGAGACAGGCTGCTCACTTTCATGAGCAATGTGATTCCGAAAGACGGTACGCCAATGCCAGTATCAGTGGCTAACAGATATTTCTGAATAGATGACAATGTCCCAGGCTGTAGGCCAGGAAGCTGTCATTCAAAACTCCTAACATAGAAGGAAAGAGGTGAAGCATAGAAGGAGCAGTTCAGAGCCAGTCGTACTGTATAAGTAGCTTCCCTGGAGCAAGGTGCTGACTAGGAGCTGTCCTTGGTGCTGAACATCTTGACTGTTCTGCCGTGCCGTGCCATGCTTTGTGAGCTTTGCAGACCAACCCCAGGTACAATGATATTTATATGTATCCTTTTCTCATGCTTTTCTCAAGTCTTGTGAGCTTTGCAGACCAACCCCAGGTATTTACATGTATCCTTTTCTCATGCTTTTCTCAAGTCATTTTTTCTTTTTATAGTTGCAAATATGTGTTTATGGGAATGAACATGTATTTGGAACATACAGAGGAAAGGTGGGTCTTGAGTTAATGCATTGTCCATCTATAAAGGAAAGACACACTCCATACTATTGAATAGTATAAAAAACAACTTGCATTTAGTATGTGTTGTGGGTTATGTAGAATATTTCATAGTGTGTGCTTTACCTGGCTTCATTTGGTTTGGTGCCAAACTGTCTTTACTACATGTTATTTAAAATAATTTTCAAGCTCTATAATAGTGGTTGGCTTACCAATCCTAACTACATTACTTACAAGTACTTTCAGTGCAATATGATTCCAAGAAAATGCAGTTGGGATCACAGCCTAAAACAATTTGGCTGCCATTTTGAAGGCAGCCTAGGGGCTTAGAATCAGAATTCCAATAGCACTGGATGAAGCCAGGAATCAGAAGTACTCGCCAAAATTGTAACAGTCTCAAATGTCATTAGAAGTACACAGAGTTCAGATGGGCCAGAGGTGATTTCATTATGAATGGTCAGGACTGGTCAGACTGAAAAAGCAACATGTGCAGTTGCTTTCACAGCAGTGTATTGAGGAACATCAGTAGAAAAGAAGGTAATCAGAGGGATTTATGTCAAGCATCCTTGCAGGGCCACACATTCCTATCTGAAGCTTGAGAATTACACCCCATATCAGTTATAATATCAAAGAGATAAGGGTACTGCCTGGATTATGACAATTTTTTTTTCAGTCCAGCTCTGCTGCCAGTAAAGTTTTTCACTGGTTCAGCAACAACAAATCCTTCGCTCTGCTGAATGCGTAGCATTCTTTTTCTGTTCTTCTGTTTGTTGCTAGTGCTGAACAACAGTCCTCGGTATGTTTGTTTTAAAAATCATGTTGCTCATTCAGAACATTTGTTTCATACTTGTGAAACCATTACTGGAAAGTCGTTGCCACTGTAGTTGTATTCTGATTCATGCATTATGGGAGGAGCCACTGTGGCTTGGTTCCTTCCCATGTGCTGCTGATAATATTTAAAAGAAAACAACTGCCTAGGCAGGGCCATCAGTGTGGCTGCTTCCCATGCCAGTGGGAAGAATGGTAGGCAATGCCAGACATGAGATCCTTCTTTCAATCATTGCTCATAGATTGTAGGAAGGACTGTGGTGCAGTAGCATAGCTGACTTTGATGTATTTGAAAAGCCCAAGTGTTATCTGTAAGTCAGGACCTACCAAATCAGCTTCCCAGGCGGTGGTCGTGGTGTTAATATAGAGACATTGAAGCACCTAGATTCCAAGTTTATATAGTGCAGAATGTTAGACCTCTCTGTTTATTGCCTTGATATGTCTTTCTTTGGACATATCAAGGATTACACTGGTATTACACTGATATATTTAGCATATATTGTATTAAAGAACCTGGAAACTCTTCAGAATGATACATATAGTATAAATGTAAGTGAAATTGAATATTTCCATGTATTATTTGCTATTTCTAAAATAACATTTTCATACTGCCTAAAGTGGGGTTTTAAAAAGTCGGTGTTATACTTAGTATAATTTATTTTGCGCTGGAGCAAACGAAATAGAATCTCTGTTGTCGGAAGGTTGCCCTGGCTTCTGGGAAGCTGAAAAGGAGCATGTTGGACATATTTAGTTTTGAAACGTCAGTGTGTAATCTCATTCTCATTTAACATGAATGTTAGTTTTTAATCTTTGTCCACTCAGTTTCCATATGTCTCTTGGCTTCTCTGAATTGGTATGCTTTGTGTTGGGTCATGTTCAAGAAGAAAGGCAAGACATGTGGTTTGGCTCAAAGGATTCATTCTTCCCACCCCCACCCACAGAATGCAAGAGAGAACCAAACGTATTGTATAACCACAGTTATTCATATATAACAAATGTTTCGGTCCACTATTCTCCTTCTCCTTTCTTTTGAAGCCTTCCCTTCTGACAGTCTCCCCCTTA